AAAAAAACAAACACACACACACACAGAAATAGTGACAACATCGCGGGGGTAGGCAGGGAAGCTACCTGTGACCTTAAAATGTCGAGATCTGATGAAAACTCAATTTTTGTCAACTGCTACTTGTTACACGTAATTTATGTAAAAAATAAAATACTTAATTGAAGTAACAAATATTTAAAATAAAAAATTTCATATTTCGATTTCTTAATAAATTTTTACTCTCAGTGATAATGAATAATAAAAGTAATGAATTTAAAAAAAACAATAATTTATATTAGATTTTATCAAAAAAAAAAAAAACAGTCTTACCTTCAATGCTGAGAAAAAACCACGTGCCATTATTACGTGAGCTAGGTGATCTATCAGGAAATATGACCTTGCATTCGTACCAACCTTGATCACTTTCCCTGATGTTGGTCAAGTTAATACTTCCCTGTCCGTACTCTTGAGCTGGTCGATCACCCTCCAACAAGTGAATCCGACCTGCATAATCTTCGGCAATAGAGAGGACACTGTTAGCCTGTTCATAACCCGGAACTTGGTACCAGGAAAATATCGTTCGACCCTGCAACGTTAGACGCATCATCAATTATCGCGAGTTAAAGTCCTCGCTCGTCCTCATCCGCGGCATGAAAGATTCGGTTCATCCGGTCCGTTTGTTGATTATCATCACCATTAACTCATATATATGTAGTACTCATGTATAGTTACGCGTTAATTCTTTAATAGTTAATTCCAATCAACTCAATAAATAATAACACTAGACTTGAGACTTGTACTCTATTATTTTCATAATTTTTTTTTTTACTCAATTTTCTATGCCAAATAATTATTCAATAGTTGCTTTAATGGTATATGCATGAATAAAATATTATAATCACAAATTCAATCATTAATTTTAATTATAATTTGAATAGTTAATATATACGATTTAGATTGTACCATCAATATTAACTACTATCGTCTACTGCATGTACCATGTGCTGCATATGCTGATTAAACAAAATATAACATGTCGCATACCGGTAATAATTTAATGCCTACTAATCATCAATTACTAAGTAGTTTCCTGCATTCAAATTATTTTTACAATTGATGATTGTTGTAGTTTTGTGTTATACTTTAATCTAGAAAGGTTACAGTTAGACAAATGTAAATAAGTTTTCATTTAAATAAAATACAAAAATAAAACTTGACATATAAGTTTAATTACTGTTTAACAATTAATAATTTTTGTTAACTTTATTGATTTGTAATAAGTAACGATATGCAGCATGATCTTAATGTTTATTAAATATGACATATTATGATGCCTGATGAACATCAAATATACATCAGGTGTATTTGATTTAGTGAACATGACCTTTGTTCACTTTCATGTTAGTTTTATTAGATTAAAAAAAAAAAATTTATAAAATGAAAAAAATTTTCAGAAAAACCGAAATCGTTTTGAAGAAAGAAGAAATTTTTTAAAAAAGAAAATTGGTTTTTCAATAAAGAATTTATTTTGATAGAATTCTTTGAAAAAAATCGTTTTATCAATCCTGCTAATTAAAATATTTTAATTTTAACAATTTAATTGGCAAAATTGGAAAATTTTTTATATTGTTTGTTTAAAATATTTTCTGCATTATGTACTGATTGGTAAAATTTATGTTATGGTATTTTATAAAAAATTCGATGAAGTTAAAATCAAACTTTTAATACTTCAAACTTTACAAGTAACTTGAAATCACGGTTAATCGAAAATACTAGATTTATGTTTTAATTTTTTAGAAATCAAATAATTGTTTTATTAAAAATTTACGTTTATTTAAAAATAAACATTCATAAATTTTATTTTGTAACGGAACTATATTAGAGACTAATTAATACTTCAATTAATAGTTTTATTCTAATTACGAATTAATATTTAATTAAACAAATTTTTGAATGTTTTTCTTAATTTCATGTAATTATTATAATCCTTTGTTTTGTTATTTCCAAATGAGAATTACAGTCAGACGGAAATATTTTCAAATTCATATTTATCCTGAATAAACCTCAATCATTAAAATTTTTCCAATAATTGCAATAAAGCGAGAAAAAGAGATTTTCACACTGTGGATAGATTAACTTGATTCAAGAAAAAAATCTATAACTAATAAAATTTTTTTGAACAATCTCATCATCTATAATCAAAAAAAAAAAATCTTAAGCCAAGTAAAATTTATTTAAACCAAAAACTATTCTTTAAGTAAAAAATTTTTCTAATTGTTTAATTTTTTTTTATAAAATCATGTATAATATTAGAACTTACAAATTTTTAAAAACAAAGTTAAAAATTGATGTTTGATCAATATCTTTACAAAATCTTCAAACCGTAAATTAATATTTGCTTTAAATAAATCTTGTTAAATCCATAAAAGTTTGAATTAACAAAATTCAAATTTTATAACAATAATAATAAATATAATACTTGGTTAAGAAAGGTTTAGAGATACTTATTGCATTTTTTTCTTGTAACAACTTAACTTAATTATTAACTTATCAATGATCAGAGAGATAAAACAGCAATAACAGTCGATTATTTTGGCTGTTCAGCTATAATTTTTTTTCTTCTTCCAACATCCAATAAAAAGTAATAAATTAATTAACAAAAATACTTACTTCTCGATTCCAGTGTAATATATAAGGTATCGGTATTTCGTGTGGAAAATCAAGATGACAATTAAATACAACGTAATCACCTACAGCTGCTGTAAAATTGTTCGAATCTCTTTCTTCGTCTAACATTAATCCGTATCCCAGTGCTGGCAAAAATCAAGTTAAAAAATTTATAAAAACAAAAAAATCGTAGCTTTCAAGAATTCTTTATCTAATACCAATTTAATACAACCGAAAACAATGTTAATCTCAATCATTCGACGTAAAGAACAATTATAAAATTAAAATACCAAAAATTTTACCTGCGTAGCACAAAATAATAGTTGCAAATCCACGGTACCATTTATTAGCCTCCGGATTCATTTTAAGTGGGATTATTAATAAAGTTCACAATATGATATTAATAAATAAGACTAGTGTTGTATTATGTCACCGGAATTTTATTATTAAAACTAATAAAAATAAATATTAAACAATAACAAAGTCTCGGCACAAAAAGTACCGCACGAGCCGAGCACATTTGTCACCTTCACCTTCACTCATTAATCTCCACCATCAATTGTTATCACTCAAGCCATCATTTCAAAACTTTTTATTTTTATTCTGTTCCTCTACTTATTTAATTTTATTCAATTTAATTTTTTTATTTTTATTGAATAAATAGATAAGTAAATAAATTTACGGTAAAACTTATTTCTAAACTTTCTTCCTTAAATTTAAAAGCTGACACTGAACATGCTGATTAACACCGAAATAATTGTTGGAGGTGAAGGTTAAATTTATGAACAAAAACAGTTGAATTTTAGTGTGTTAGCGTTATCATTAATGTTAAAGGTGGAAAATAAAACAAGCTGACACGTAGTTTAACGGAGAGTGGTCGAGAAGCAGAAGAGATAACCAAGTAATTGACGGAGCTTGCCAGTGCAGAAGTCGTTCTTGTTAAGCGGATACATTCTCAGAGTGGGGGATTAAATTAATTCAACATTTATGGGCCTGTCCGCCACATTGTTGTAATCACAGCAAGACAAGCCCTCGCAATACAATGGTATATAGTGTATAGTCAAGGGTGCGGTGATCAGGTGTGCTTTTCAGAGACAAACTTTTTATATTTCACGGATTGGACTAGATCTATTATTAAAGGGAAAATTTTCACGCTTTGCTGATGCTCTTATTTATCATTTTTTGCTTAATTTTCAATATGTAACATGTTATATGATTTCCAATCGAATTAAGTATTTTTTTTTTAAACAAGTAGATTTCTTGAAAAATTTGTGTTGTAGTGAAATTTTGTAGGGTTAATAATTTATTTTGCAGTGACTAAAAATGTAATCTCTTGTAACAAATCTGAAAAATAACCTTAGAGGTCGGTTCTGGAATTTTCCGCTTTATAAGTTTTGTCACGCGATGCCTCGCAAAGCAATCAACCAATTTTAAATATTATCGAATTTCGGATGTATGAAAAATTTTTAAAAATTGGAGGAGCAAACTGACTTTTCATATTTTGAAAATATTTTTTTTCATTAATTGAAACTGTTTTTTTGCCGAAACAAAGTCTTTCTATAATCTATGAATTAAATACGAAATAACAATTGAAGTGCATTCAGAAGGTACAGTGTTCGAATCGAAGCTTGGACCAGAATCTATTTTTTTTTTTTATCTTAACAGTAATATCAACATAATATAAGAGTTTATTCAACGTTATAATTACTGATACAAAGTTAAAAACTGCATATTTGTAAACACTTAATTACATTTTTTTTATTCATTAAAATTTATTGTCAATTTTTGGCTACCGTAAAGTCAGAATTAGATATTCCTCAAAATAGATGAAGACTTTTTATCCAAACAATAATAATTTCACTTAAAATTGATCGAAAAATTAGTAGAGACCTTTTCTATAGAGCGTTCGATTTCCGACAAAAAATGTATCGGCTAACTGATAAATCGCTTGTATGACAAGATATAAAATTGCAAACTTTAAATATATTTTTTTCCATATTATTTAAATAATAAATGGAAAATTTTAATTTATGACTTTCAAATGTCAATATTACACTGTTAATAATTTCTATTGTAATTCTACAAGAAATGTATTGGAAGCTAATAGGCAAAACATTTATTTAAAATTACAATCGGGTATAGTAATATTACAAAACATATATAGCTCTGTGAGGTTACTAATTTTACAAAACGATTTTGTAATTTTACAAATATTTTTAGATTAGCTAAGTTTGTAAAATTACAATACTTTCCTTGAATTTTACTTTAATTGAAATAATAAAAAAGAAAGATTTGATTTAATAGTTGTTGTCATTTTATTTTTATGAAGCGCTGACTAGATTTTGAATCTCACGTAGACCTAATTGCACGCCTCATAAGCACTGTGTAATTTTACAATGAAAATTATAAAAATAAAAAAAAGCTTTTTAAATTTTTTATGAGATTATTGTAATATAAATTACAATATTTTTTGTGATTTTCTATACAATTATGCTGAATCAGATGACAAATAATGTTTGCAAAATTAAAAAGCTTTTTCTTAAAAATTTACGAACGGTTTTGTAATATTACAATGCGTGTTAGGTTTATACATGAAGATTGTAAAATTACAATTCATCTTAGTAGATTTCCTGGAAAGTGTTGGAAAATTACATGAATTGTATTTTATTTCGCATTGCTATACACTGATTTGTAATTTTGCTTATTATTTGTTTTGTAATATAATTTTGATTTTACAAGAATTTTTAACAGCGTAGAGTTCTAATTTTGACAGGGTCTTTTCTTGACATCGTCTGATGAAATTTCATGATCATTTCAAAAAATCAAATTTGTCGTTTTCTTTGATCCACCCAATTAGACATGTATGACCATATCAGACCTTATATAGCTAGAGGTATATTAAGTTATGTCAGAAAATACTGTCATATCAAGCCAGATATTCAGATCAGACCATGTATGGGCATATAAAGAAATATAAAAAATTATACATGGACATATCAGGCTATAGTAGAAATTTTTTTCATAGATAGTTCTACGGCGTATTATAGTATTATCATGATAAAAAATTATCCAACTTCTTTATTCGATACTTTATAAGACGCATCTTTGATCGCTTCAGACAATCTACATAAGTCATATCAATATACTTACCACATATCGACGTTCTAATTAGCAAATTGTCTAACTCCATTTTAGAGAATCTTCCATTTTTGTACGAAAAAATAATTAGTTCAAAATTTATTATTTCTTAAAAAAAAACATTTTATATCTAATAAAGGTATAATATTTTAGTTTGAATCATTCAAATAATTCATAATTGGGCTATTGCTATATCAAAATGTTAAAAAATCACTCTCTAAAAAGTAAAGAGTTAGACCAATTGCTAATTAGACCGTCGATATCATCTATGAAGTATATAAAGCCAACTTACTTCATGTTGCGAAAATTCACCCAAAAGCTTAATCAAATTCTTCTGAAAGATCTTCGTTGAGATTTCAACTAAATTTTTTTTAGCGATGGAGGAAAAGTGACATCCAATTTGAGAAACAATTAAAGATTTGCTGATGTAGAAAAGTTTATTGAGATCCCAAATTTTGAATTTTTTCAGGTATCGAATGTAAAATTTAATATTTAAACAATTGCGTTCAATTATCTAATCTTATTGGTTGCGGTATGATCATATTACACCATAAAGAGAACGACTTGATTGGTTTATTTTGTAAGAGGCGTGAATTCTTAATGTGTCTTTTATCTAAGATGTATTTATGCCATGAAAATTATCGAATACTATTTATCATTTGAAATAAAAAAATTTAATGGCATAAAAAATAATTTTTAAGAAAACGATAAAATTTTTAATGAAAAAGTATTATGTAGATATATTTATTATCAGTAATTAATACTGAGTATTAAAAAAATATAAAACATGTAAGTTTATATTTTTCTCTTGCCCAATAATGTAGCACGCAGCATTTACGTGGGTGACCTCAAATTACGTCACATCCGTCCCTATATCTGTATTAGCAGACTGCCCACAGCCCACAGCCTTGTCACGCTGTTGAGATAATAGATCCATTCGCATGGATCACCAACCAGGATTGGACGTGATTTAGACACTGAAATAAACCATTACAAGACAACATTCAGCTGTATTCATTACATTCAATAGGGGATGCTCTTTTTATTCTAACATTTTCGAGTTCTTTGATCTCAATTTCTATTCAATACAAAGCATTATTTTTCATCTTGAAAAACCTTTTATTAATTATATTTTTTTTTCCATTTTATAAATCTATTTAAACTGTTGATTCTGATATTTGTTGACAAAAGACAATTAACATAGTAATTATCATTATCATTAGTTTTTACAATAATTTAAGAAGTAGATCGAGGTTATCAAGTTTGGTTGCAACCACTTACTTAGACCTTGGAGCTATGTGGTCACGCGTTTCCGAAGAAGATTGAATTATCGAATTACGTCGTCTAGCTACCACGTTATACGTATTATATATTGTACTATATATGTAAGCTAGTTGTATATTTACACATATATTTCAAAAGTGAGAAAAAAGTAATTACGTAATTAAATGATTGTATGAATCAGGCAGATCATCCCAACACTAAATTGTTAAATATAATTATAATCAATTATGATTAATATTATAATTACATTTTTCTAACATCATCATGGGAATATATTATATTAATATCTATTCACATGATCATTATTTACATTAATACATATGTGAATATGATGATTTATGACTACGTGAATATGAAATAAATCTATCACAAGTATATGACTACATATAAATGTGAGACTAAGTCTGTAAAAACGTTAATACTAGACAGAGAGCAAAACTGAAACGTCAAAGCTACAGATAAAAAAATTTTTATGCTTCAGAATTAGGAAAAATAATTTTCAAACGTAGCTCTTTATTAAATTTAAATTTTTTTCATATGACGGTAAAAGTAAAAATTTTTTTTAACTTCCCGCTATGAAATTTTAAAAGTTTTCTTTAGATTTTTAGTTTTAATTTTTTTGAAAATTTGAAAGAATCAGACCGGCAGATTTTGGAAAGTTTAAAAATTAAAATTTTGAAGAATTGGTTTTTTTTTTTTTTTCAATATTTTATAAGCTACTGTGCTGAACAATTCCAGAACTCAATTAGCTCTATTTTTCAAAAGCTTTGTCAAATGTCGCAAACTACATCAAAATCGATTAATTTGATAAAAAAAATATCGCAGTTTAAATAATGTCTGTTAAAAGTTAGTTCTAAAATTTTAGCCATATTTAATTCTTAAATTTTCTTCTTTAAGCTTAGAAAAACAAGTAAATAGTTAAAAACCGCATAATTTAATTG